GACAGAAGAGAGGGCACTTTAGGGTCAATGAGCTTTCAACTGGTGGCCTGCGCCCTCCTGTGGCCCTGGTCCCCATTTACACTCCTGAGGTCATCGGTCTGATAACTTGATGAAGTGTCGTGTGATTCATGTTTAAGCGTTTTTCAAATCTCTAAACCAGGCCATCTCCATAAGCAGTTGTTTGCAACTTCATGTCCAGTGTCTCTAATTCACATCTAATTGCTACTGAAAATGTAGATTTTAAAAAAATTATTTTCACACGAAAAGGCATCTCTTATTTTTTGGTTACCAGTGAGTTTATTGCCAGGAGACCTATTTTTAGGTACCTGAAGAAAAAATATATAACAATGAAATGAAACATCACAATCTGTCAAGAAAAAGGCTTCTGGCTCTTTTGCAGTTTTTATAGAGGCTTTTCCAGAACTTTCCAGGGACCACTCCAGAACTGTGACAGAGAATAGGTAATCTGCCAGGAGCAAATGTCCTTGTCATTTAAGATGCACACAAAAGAATATTTTTTCCCCATCCAGAGCTCATTCCTATCTTGGCTCGCATTTAAAATGGCTTTGCATTTAAGACTGTTTTCGTATTTTACTTTTTTCTGTTTTTTAATTAGCTGGTCGATGAAAATTTCCATAGCAATGTGACATACTGACAAAGACAGTAAATTATTTTCCATTGCTGTTGCGCTCTCTAGATGGGCTCATTCTCAAGTGTGATATTCAGAGAGGCCAAGATCTGCCCTGTGGTTCTGGCATGTGAGAAGCAGAAGTGATGTACCTCGAAAAAAACCAATTTGAAATATGTGCTTGGACCACAGGAATTAAGTCGTTCCTGCTCTTAGATTTAGGGGGCATTGTGGAGAAACACATACAGCTGACAACAGATTACAAATCCCACATTGATAGGCGCATATTATTTCTAAAATTATATTCCATTTTTGGTTCAGAAATTCAGATTCGCCCAGTAACAATATTTGACATTTTCCCAGTAAAATGCAGGCTGACTTGCTTGAGCTTGTAGGAGTGGTGTATGGATTAGCTGGTTAGGACTTTGTGCCCATGATCAGAAGGTCACCAGTTCAAATCCCAGAGCTGGCAAACTGATGCTGCTTTCAGGCCCTTGAGCAAAGCCCTTAACCCCCAGTTGCTCCAGGGACACTGGCTGACCCTGTGTTGTGACCCCCCCCCCCCCAAACTTACCCTCACTTGTCTGTGTGTTTCTTGGAGAGCTTGATGGGAGGGGCGAAAAGAGAATTTCCTCACGGAGATGTATAAAGTATTACTATTTTATTTTAACCTGCTGGTTTAGCTCTTTAATCAGTTGACTGCTGGTTATTGCTCATTATCAGTTCCCTTTTCAGGTTAGTTACCCACTTTTCCATCAGCTGAGGCCGCTTCCCGCTGACCCCCCCTGCCCCTGGGGAGGGGGGACGCATCCTTTTTCCGCCGCTTTCGTGCTGTGGGCTTTCCCAAGGTTCTTATCTCGTCTGTTTCCCCTCGTAAGGCTGCACAGGGCTGAGGCTGACGGAGTCTCTCGCTCTGTATTCTGGGCAGCTTCCGGAAGCTTCCTCGGAACAGGGACCGGGAGAGCCATTCCAGGCAGCCGTGCCCGTTTGGGGGGAGGGGGGGCGGTGTGTGCGGCTGGCGGTCCCTCTAGCCGCCGACGCAGACTCCCCCATAGCGCAGAGCGGCGAGCATCCCAAAGCGTGACTCAGTATCCCCCGGCCACCCCCTTCACTGCCACCTCACACACGCGTGTGCCGGGCTCTGTAGGCGGTAACTCCGTGCCCCCCCCCCCCCCCCAGCATCTCAGAGCTCGTCTGAGAGCGGTCTTGCCCGGTAGCGATTAAAGTATTTTTTAATTATTATTTATGTTTTGTTTTTTTTTTGGGGGGTGGGGCATAATTCACACAGAGGAGCCAACCTTATTAGCCAGTGATATGTTTTGATTCAGTGAGTGACAGGACAACAGGCCAATCAGTTTTCAGCTGGGGTCAGTGTCCCTGTGGCCCCTCGTACACCCCTGGTGTTGCCTATTGGCTTGCGGCCATGGCCTGCCCCTCCCCCTGCATCCTTCGAAGGTTGTGCCTGTGTCCCATCCGGCAGCCCGTGGCATGTCCTCACCCCACATGATCACAGACGGCGGCGTCGTGCTGCTTTGGACCCCTTGGCCATCGAACGCTACATCCATCACCGGCCCGACCGGCTGCTGCCCTCTGCTCTGGTCAGGGTGACCGTTCTGCTTGGCCGTCAAGTTTGCTGCTCCTTGCCGTGGCCAGGACGGCACTATCGCTTCCTCTGTAGTGGGATTGGAGCCACATTAATGGCAAAAGCCCCCCCTCCTGCGACGAGCAGCTGGGAGATGGATGGATGGATGGATTACTGGTGATCCTGATGAAGGCTTTTTTCTCTGGGTACAGTAAGGCTTACAAACATGGCAGCTGCTTTAGTGACACGCCCCTGACAGGAACCCACGATGCCCTCCGCTGAACAACTCATACGAGTGTGAGAATCTCCTGCTATCCCCCCCTAACTCTCAACCCCTGTCTGTCTCCTGATTTGATTGCCAGCCACTTAACGAGCCGCATCGCCCTCTTAATTAATCGTCCGCTGTCCCCTGTCCCCCTCCTGTCTGTGACAAACACGTGCACAAACAGCCTATGGGGGGCGTCCTTTCACAGCCCCGACGGAGCCCTGGCGGCCTGATGCACGGCTCCACAGATGGTGTCTACGCTCCCCCGTCAAATGGCTATTTTTGGGAGGCTGAACAGAGGGGAGCTGCAGAAAGGATGTACCTGAATCGCCGTGGAGACGGTCTGCTCTCTTCCTGCTGCCAGCGAGGGCCGGTCTTGTGATGTTTGCTCATTTGCTCCATCGCATTTTCGTCCAGGAGCAGCCTGCTTTGATTTACTCCCTCTTCTTAGGTCTTCCGCTGGAAGATCTCTCGTCAGACAAGTGACACCTCAACACCCCCGCCACCTCCACCCCCCGGTTACTGGTTTACGGGCTGGGGGCCAACACACAGACAGATGTCAGGCAGGTGCCAAGGGATGTCTCAAAACGGTGACCTCATCGCAACCTACGGGACAATAGCCCAGTGAGCGTTTGTCACGACCCGACTCCTGGCTCCCACGCCACCCTCGCCTGCTCACCCCTCGCCTGAACCTTTCCTGACGTCACTTGGCCTCAGCAGTGACTCAGCGCTAATGTAGACTCAAAGGACTTGTCAGTGGGCATCCTAACACTTCCAGGCCGATTCCCGATTGGCTCTCTCGCCTCTCTTGGCTGATTGATGGGGACAAAGTCATGAGCCTCACATGACAAATTTCACATCACCTTAGCAAAACCGACGTGGTATGATTCACACTGTTGTATAGGTACCACCCCCCTCCCCAGCAAACGCTCCCAAATGGAACATCAGATCAGTCAGATCATTTGAATGCAGAAACTGTTTTGAACGCTTCTGGGCAGCATGGTTGCATTGGGTGTCTCTCCACCTCCTGGGTTGAAGGTTCAGTTCCCACGCCAACTGTTTGTATGGAGATTACATGTTTTCCCTTATGTTAATAAGGTAATTTGTCATCTCTGAATTGCCCGTAGTGTATATGTACATACAGCATGTAATAGTGCCCCCTACAGGCCGCAGTCTGGTCTCTTACTTCCTTGCCCATACTCTTGGTAGTGGACCTCCAGAGAAGCCCTCATACTGTAGATACCTAGAAAATATGCCTCTGGAAAGGTTAACTTTTTTTTTTTCATCCTGACATTTGTCTGTTTTATTTACCTTGATTTTCTAGGTTTTTCCCACCCAGTGTTTCCCGCTATTTTAACCTCTGTCTTCTACCCTTTGTATTTGCAGGATCAGTCAAATTAGCTGCTGTTCTCTTGTCTTCGCTTTTTATTAACAATTTAGAAAAACAGAAGATCCTTCCACAGATAAACAAATATAAACATGATTGACATGTTATAAGGTTTACCAGCCGTTCACCTTGACTTGATTTGTGATTCAGAATCTCTACATGCCCTACATTGAACAGCTTTAACTGCTGGTGAAGTGGTTTAATCCTCTGATGGACCGGTGGATCTGCAGCATGATCTGACTTTTCAGTTATAAATTCTGGTATTAGCTGGGGAAAGTGTCAGATGTCTCTGGGTTCAGCTCGCTCAGCCGAATTTGGCTGGTACTTGCGATGACACCTGGTGGCTGCTGATCCTCCTCCCTGGCTTAGCGCGAGGCAGTGATTGAGTAGTGAGGAAGCAAGGCGTATCATAAAATCTCTGCAGTTCTTTCTCAGGGGAGGAGAGAGCTGATCTCCCTCGACGCAGATAGCGCCGTGTGCAGGATTTGGGGATTTCCACACTGGCGCGGGAAGTGTGTGAATGGACAGTCATGAACTAAAGTGGTTGTGCAGCACCGAGCGGGTAAACAGCCCCCCAGGGCTTCTAGCTGTCTCATCCCCTCGCAACCCCCCCCCCCCCCAAAAAAACCACTTGCTTAATCAGAGACGACTCCCCTCAGCAATCATAAAATACAAAAGGGAAAACAAAACAAAAAAAGCAAAACATGCACTATGAGTCACCACAGCCATTCTGCGGATGAGATAGGTACCGAAGGCCCAGACGCGGCAGGACGTTCGCTTGGGAAAGCGAGAAGTACAGCCAGTGGATCGTAGAAAAGATTAAGGAAAACTCTCTCCTCACAAAAGCTGAGAACTGAAGGCTTTAAGTTTCTCCTAGATGCAAATAGGCATAAAAACATCCAGTACAGATTGTCTGCGCTTCCTTAGACTTCTATATCCACCCAGGGCCGGAATACCTATCGAGGGGCCCTAGTCTGACATAAGCATGGACACTTAGGTGCTGCTGATTTTACTAGCGCTTCCATTTTAGGTTGGGTGGGGCCTTGATGTTTACAGGGGCTTATAGGCATTAATCTGGTCCTGTCCCCAACCGCCGTGCTATGGCTCTGATGTCCCCGTGACTCCTCTCTCTCCCCAGTGATTCCCGACACCCTGAGCGTGACATCGGTTGCCCAGAGCCTGAACAAGGTGGAGGGCGACACCCTTCAACTGACCTGTGAGGTCACGCGCCAGACATCCCAGCACAGCCACCTGTCCGTGGGCTGGTTCCTGCGCTCGCCGGAGCGCGACTCACCCCCACAGGACCTGGTCACGCTCTCGCGGGACTTCGTGCTCCGCGCTGGCAACCCCTACAAACAGCGCTTCGCCTTTGGGGACCTGCGGCTGGACAAGACCAGCAGCGCCTCCTACAGGCTCAGCATCTACCGGCTGCAGCCGGCCGACCAGGGGCTGCTTTACTGCGAGGCGGCGGAGTGGATCCAAGATCCAGACCAGTCCTGGTATGCCATGACCCGGAAGCAGTCAGAGAAGACCATGGTGAAGGTGCAGCCCACAGGTATGTTTGGGGATACTGATGACTATGGTTGTGGTAAATCTGTATGAATTATGGCTTCCGTTATACCTTACAAAACCTAGAATCACCCCTGATGTGGTAAATTTCATCAACCCAATCTCTCTAAATCGAAATAGAGCAGTTCAACTGACCGATTTTGACTTCAAATGACAGAATTAGTAGCTTTGACTACATACAAGGTAAACCCAAACGAATCACTATAATTTAATTTCACCCCACACTGGTTAAGAGGATTGTTGGTGATGCGCAGTTATGAATAAGGATTTATTCTCACTTGCATTTAAAATAACTTTGCTACCATTATTTTAACTCTTACTCAGGCAGGGAAGCTCATCTCACTCAATGATGACCAGCTGCTTTTAACGTAAGTGCAGGGAGAAGGTAGTTTATTGGTGTAAGGACATGGATTCATAACCATATAGAGAAGCACTTATACCATGAACAGCTGAACAGTAAAATGTCCAGCTGGATAATGGCAGGCAGTCCAGTGTCTTTGTGTAAAGGCATCAGCGGCGTAACCGGAGAGGCTGCTGGAATATTATCAGTCTTTTGTTATTAGCAGTTAAGGGTTTGGAGCAGCTGGGATGTTTGAGGCCTTCAAAGACTATTAAACTGAATTTACAATGTGGCTCTTGTACAGTGTCTGCCATCCCTGCGCACATCCACAGCTAATATGCAATGCTAAGCATCTGTTTTATATAGAATCCCCCTGTTGACCTAAATGTGATGCAGATATTAAGATTAACGTCGGCTAGTTAATCTTTGCGGGGATCTTTGCAGGCGTCTCGGAATCTAATCTCCAGTTCAGAGCGGATGGTAGCGAGTCCATCTTCCCCTGGAGTTTGCTGTCAGTTCAGGGGTCAGATCTGCAGGGCTTTTAGAGAGCCCCCTCCCCCCCACTCATGTCTGAACAAAGTCATTTCCTTCGTTTGTTCTGTCTTCTTCAGACACTCTATTATTTTTCTTCATCTCTGACACGAAACCCGACACACCGACTCGCGATTATGTTTCCTGTAGGACCCAGAGATGCTGGTTCTTTTCCATAAATCCGCCAGGGGGGCAGGACAGTAGCAGCCCCTGAGTCATCTCTGTTGGAACAGCATTAACACAGGTCGTCCATCCCCCCCCGGCCCACCATGGTGATGTGTGTGTTGCAGGATGGGGTCTGCTAAGCACGCGGCCACTTCCCCCTCATTACACCAGTTTGTTGTGAATTATTCACCACAGTATCGATGCGAAATTGTGTTCAGGATCAGAGCTGCATCATCCAATTAGTGGGTCTGAGCTCTCTGGTGTCTGATACATCAGTCAGGCATCGTTTTTGAGTTTAGTGCAAGTAACTTGTACCAGAATTAGAGTTAAAACCTTTACGAAAGGAAATATTACCATTTTAGTCACTTCCCATGTTATTCCCATGGCTCGCAGTTAGCCTTAACCATTGAAAAGATAGAATATCCACTCTTACGTCGTTAGCAGGGAGGAGGACGCGGCTTTCACTCTCCCCTTAAAAAATGTGTGCCCTTGACAGGCTAGAAAGATCCAGAACGAGGACGGCGGAGGCTGTCCACACGTCGGCCTGTGAGTCACACATCGACCGAGATTTTTGTTTTATTATTTAAGTGGAGGGCACATTCTTTTCTTTCACGGCTACTGCCGCTGATGTCAATCGAAATCAAATCTGCACATTTCAAAGACGCAAGAAATTTTCTAAATAAATTAAATAACTGCTGGGGCCATAGTCGCTGGCTGGTTTAACCCTTAAATCTCCCCTTGACTGTTTCATCATTTTCCATTCGGATTCACAAGCAATATTAAATTGCACCTTATTCACGTTTCCCGGTGTGATTGACCATCAGCCTTCTTGACCATATCAGTCAGGAACAGAAGCATTTGCGTTTCGGATGAAAATCATGGCCATCAAGGTCCGAGCACTGTTGATTTTCTAGCCTTTCTTTACTTGTGAGCCAAGTGTGACTGACTACCTGAGCTACTTTGAACTACCTGGAAGAACTGAAAACACGGCCTGGATTTGGAATCGAGGTCCAGATTTGTAGAGCCCCGCATTAGGGGATATTCAGTCGAAGAACATATTCAAAGTGTTAATGACTGCAAGTGTAAACCTAACAGCTCCGGCCTTCCTGATGTTAACACAGCATTCCCACAATTCAGAATTACCAGCTTTGGGCTTACTGTGACGTCCTGAAGCGTTTCCAGTGGACGGGTGAAATCCGTAACATGGGGGGGGGGCTTCATTAGCCCTCTCATATCTTTTCATTAAAGAACGAGTGAAGCCTCAGCATCTATCAGTAGCCGCCGAGATCACAGAGCCGTGCGGTTGGGCGCGTGAGCCGAATTGGGATGACCGCTGCTTCCCTCCCTCACGTACTTCCTCTCCCACACCTACACTGCACGTGTCGGCATTTCGCCGGCGAGATGCAAGCGGTAATGTCGCACTCGGAGTCGTCATGGTGCCTTGTTAAGGGAAGTCGGCATCTTTCTTTACCGCTGGGATTCGGATGGAGACGGAGCGGCCACCTGAAAATAGCTTCAAAGTCGTCAAATCAGAGGAGCGTTGGAAAGATGAAGAAGGGTGGGGGGACTTTTGTGGCTTCCGAGGAAGAGCGTTTCGCTTCCCGACACGTTTCTGCACACTCCTGCAGCTGCTACTGCCAGTTTTATTGCTGGAATTCACTGGAAGTTCAGGAATAGAATCCTATATTCCTACTAATTTGTGGAGTCTAGCATATATAAAACATCACTGAAGTCCATTGCCCATATTAACTTGAGATTTTAATAGCTTTTCCATAAGGGTTTGCCTGTTCATTTTTTGTTTGTATGTTCCTCATGTTGTTTTTGAACTAGAATCACTGGTTATGATTTCACTGCACCCGCCCCCCAATTTGGCCTTTGGTACTTCCTTGGAATGCTAACGCATGCACACTGCACCATTGCTGATCCAGGTTCACGGAGACTCCAGCGCAAAAGCCGAGCATGATCCAGCCTTTTAAGAAACACATATTTCTTGAAATAAGAGTGATTGTTCTTTCATAATTTCAAAATTTCCATTTGTATTCCATTCTGTCGGTTTATGCGGCACCCTCTCCAAACAGCATGGCCCAGAATGACTTAACACCTCTGTGAAAATTACATGTGTAAGAAAAAAAATAACAGCCAGAGGAAATGAAACAGGAAGGATAGCTTGTTTAACAAGTTTCAAGTGTTATTGTCACCTGTGTTTGGAAGAATACGGTGAAATTCTTATGCCACAGTTGCAGAGAAGAGGTCAGGCCTATAGAGGGACATTAATGCCACACAAAGGCAAAACATAGTAACTGCATGTTTTATACAAATTGAGCTATAACAAGAATCATGTCTCATCTCGAGAACAACCTATCTTCAAAATATATATGACTATGCTTAATTAATATATATTTGACTATGGATAGTTTTAAAGAAAACAGCATGAAAATTACTGTAACTACAAAATCCACACTAAAAGCAAAGCAGTTTAAGTGTCAGCATGTTTTGCCTTTGTTTGGCAGAATAGGGCAAACAACAGTGCAGGACAAGACCATGCAATATAATAATGAGACGACAATAAATAGGCGATGCAGTGATGATAAATGTATTCAAATAATAGCAAAAGTAGATAATGAGCAGAAGTGGAATGTTAAAGACAGTGTGCAATGCAGTGGAGTGCAGTGGTTGGGCAGGTTGCTGTTTATTGCAGTCCAGCCACAAACGCTGCAGTTTGGAAGAAGGTATCCTAAATATTGTCCATATGCACTGATACGCTGTGCTTCCAGCCATGAGCACCAGTACAGTCCAATAATCAGTCTTGCAGGGCTGTATGATTGTGGATGTAGGTGGGTGTGGCTTCAGTGAATGACTCCTTTGTCCCCCTCTGCCCCCCCAGACAGGGATTTCGGCATCCAGGTGAGCACGGAGCGCCGCTCCTACACCACGGGGGAGCCCTTGGAGCTGCGATGCGCCATCGACGCGCAGAATGTTCCGGACCGCTACTTCTCCGTGTCGTGGGTGTTCAGCAGCTCGCCGGTGGCGGTCGTGGGTCCCAATGCCGTGCCCGTTCTAGGCGCCGATTACGTGGCACGCGAAGCCGCCGGCCAGATCACCGTGCGCAAGGAGAGCGCCGCCATCTACCTGCTGAGGCTGCAGCGCCTACGTGTGGAGGACTCCGGCAAGTACATCTGCCGGGTCACCGAGAGGGAGAAGACCCCCACAGGCGACTTCATCGACCGCACCAAGAGGTCCCGCAATGTGCAGATCACTGTCCAGGCGCTACGTGAGTAACACCTCCGGGTGCCTCTCCAATGGTCCAAAAGAACGTTACATTTCTACAATGTAATGGCACACATACAGCTTACATATGTAAATTCTTATTCTTATACTTTTTGCCCTATGACCCTTCACTTCACTGCTAATTGCACACTCTGGATATTTATGATGATTATTTATTGTTTAATGTCTTGACACTATACGTATGCCCCCTTTTAGCAGTGTTACAGTGACAGGCAGCCGTTTTTCTGCACATTGTACTTAGCATAACTGTGTGTATGCCAAAAAAAACATTGATTTGACTCGATTAGGCTCCTCCTACAACCTAAACTTCATCGGGCCTCAAAGGGATTTTCATAAATATCCACACACAACCATGACACCATTTCATGGTGTGATCTCTCCCTCCATTTTCCATACGGTGCTCTCCATTCTGATTGTGATTAAGGAATATCGGCTAAAGCGCAATGTTTCCCATTGGCTGAATGTTTTCCCCATCTCTGCACGCTATCGGCAATATGAATATTAAACTCGTGTCTCACGCCCGGGGACCAGCTGGCTTTCCAGCCTCTGTGTTGTTTACGATTTGCCCCCGATCCGTTAATGCCTTTGTTCCACCTCGGTAGGAGCAAATTCACTGTGCTGCATTAAAAGTGACATTCGTTGCTACTAAGCTCAATATAATGTTGACTCTCTGGGCTTTCAAGCACACTCGTTTGACGCATCCTGATTTGTCTGCACATGACATTCGGTCATCCCGTCGTCTGTGCTCACCGGGATCTTGCATTTATGCCCTGTAAGCGTAGCTTTTGATTCTGGCGGAGGCTTAGAAGTTAAATGATGCCGTCGAATAAGTCAAATTTGTGCGAGCATCAACAGATGCTTATGATGGATGAATGTGACGAGAGGAATTACATCGAATTAGCATCTGCGTTTTGGTTCTTAAGCTGGCGTTTTGAAAAAGGCGTTTATTTCACAACATAAAATTCAATCGGATGTGACAAGCTCACAGCCGCCCTTGTGTTATGAAAATACCAATTTCCTCTACATCAGGGGCATGATATATATAATATATATATATATATATATATATATATATATATATATACACATACACACACACACACACACACATTTAATGTCATGTAACTGCTGGATTAAATTACCTCTCCAGCCTTGAAGAAACAGACGTGTCTCTGAATGTTAAGGGGGTGTCGGTGCAGACCCACAAGATGACCAACTCGTCTGTCTTTGAAAAAATGAGCCCCTGAACGGTTCACACTGGTGTCTTACATGAGCTTCCACAGCCACGGCCCCAGAACCCCATCAGTCAGGGGTATTGCTTTTTTCACCACAGTCCAGTCCAGGTCTAATCTAAGTCCACATGGCTTCGCACACACACACATACACACACACCCGTTCACGCACCAGTGATCTGCTTTGCAGATTGCTCATACCAGTGTTAACCTTACTGCCACTGAGTAAATATTATACTTGTTAAAGTACTTGTTTTGAGTTACAATCGCTCAACAAATTTGTTTAATGGCAGTTTATTATTATTATTACTATTATCATGAATAATAATAATAATGATAATGATAGTGATGATAATAAGAATAATAATAATAATAATCATTTCAAAGGTATTAGTGTTCCTAATCATAGAAGCTAAATTTAAACAAAATAGGTAGCTTAAATTATTTATTCAGTCCCTCTTTCTCCTCTTCCTTGTTAGGAAGCAACATGACCGTTTTCTTGGTCGGTAATTCCACGGAGGTCTTGGAGGGGGAGCCAGTGCAGTTGACGTGCTCTGTGAGGGCTCTGACAGACAAGACCGGCAGCGTGTCGGTCACCTGGCAGTGGATGGGCAGGAAGGGCACCGCCGTGACCCAGGACGTGGTGACCATCGACCGCGAGGGGACCGTGAGGTTGGGCCCTGCCTACCGCGAGCGCAGCACCTATGGAGAGATCCGCGCGGAGCGGGTGCGCGCCGACACTTTCACCCTGCAGCTGTATAACTCCGTACCCGGCGACGAGGGCCAGTACAAGTGCGTGGCCATGGAGTGGATCCAGGCCTCAGATCTTACCTGGGAGAAGATCGGGGAGAGATCAGCTTCCAAGCCCATCACCATCAAAACTGTTGGTGAGACTAGTTTCCTCTAGAGACCATCTATACTGCCACTCCTCTGCATGAAGATTATGGTGATATATGCATAGCCGTGACAATAGCTTTGGTCGGGATGGCAGTGATGTGTAGCTCAGCGGGTTAGAATGCTTTGTTTGTGATCAGAAGGTCGCCAGCTCAATTCCCAGGGTCTTCAGAGTGATGTCACCGTTGAGCCCCTCAGCAAGGCCCTTAACCCCCAGTTCATCCAGGGACTGTCTGACCCTGCCTTCACAAAAAATGTATGTTGCTTTCGATGACAGTGTCTGCTAAATATGTACATAGGAAAGTGAATGGAGCTGTCTGTCAGATTGGACAGTGAATCACAATTTACTGAGGTTTGCAATTTCAGGAGATATGCTGGAAGCAGCTTAATGCCAAACACTGAAGATGAAGAAGCACAAACTCGTAGCCACTGTTGTGTAAACTGTAGACAGGGTTAATGGGCCAAAACCAGTTTAACTCGTCCTCCAACCCTGACTGGGTGTGTGTGTCTGGCACACAACAACCACCTCCTGAATTGCTTCCCTCGGGTCAGAGAGACTCCTAAGCAAGCAATTAGCATATTCAGATATTATTTTGAATATTCATGAACATCATTAATTTCATTGGCTGACATTTGACATTATCAGTGATACCGAATCAGGTATTTAATCGCTCGTACCCCTACTGCAGTACCCTTGAACAGGGTTTGCCGCATTGTACCAGTGAACTTTGTGACTATACTGTATATATTATCATATTTGTAAGTTGCTTTAGATAAAAGCATTAGCTAAACAATACAATGTAATTGGGCAGCTGGTCTATATAAAAAATATACTGAATATTTCCAGTTTTCCATTGAGCTATTTTGTTCTTGTGTCAGTGATTTGGGTAAAGCAACATTTTGCATTCTTTGAAAACAATGAAAACCTTGTACTAGTAGCATCTAAGATTTCAGCCCCAATGCCCCAAATCTGCCCCAGCATCCAAAACTAGCCTGAGACTGATGTATATTTATGCCCATGTCTGCTGTGGGGATTTTATGCTCCTCTTTATTTATGATACGGTCTGCCAGGGTTAGGTGACGGCCAATCTTGTGTTCACTGAACATCTTGGATCATAGGATCTATGCATGTCCCTCTGAATTTTTGAAACGGCAATTTTAGAAGTATTACTACAGTCAAGACACCAGCATTACTGACGGGGATGAACTTTAAGGGATGGGGGTAATGTTACCATTCCAGAAGCAAGCCTTAAAGGCACAGTACACTTTTTTTTCCTTTGCTTGTTCCTGGACACAAAAGAAAAGACCGATAAAAAGATAATAGATATAAATAAAAAGTTTAAAATTTAAAACATTTTACTCCATTCTTCTAGAAAACTGCATCCATTAAATAAGTCCAGTTCACAAAACCTTTGTCTTGCCGAATTCTCAGATAAGTTTATGAACCAAAGGACTGAAAGCTTGGTTTTATTGTAGCTTTCCGTGTTTCGGAAACATCAACATTGAATTTCTGCTTTTCTTCATCCCCACTTCAGTCTGTCAGTAAGCAGAGTGCAGCAGATGAGTCCATCCGCCTCTGCCTATCCATGGGTCAGCCAGTGCCGTGTAGGAGGGCTAAGTGCCAGCAGGCAGCCTGACCCACGCATTATATCACTTGGAACCATCGACCCATGCACTGTGGGTGGCCCGTAGAACCCGCAGCCAATTGTCCTTCATCCCCACACTGATGAAGACCTTGGGGAACAATGTGTAGACAATGCAGAACAGGTTCTGTGTGAAATAGCACAGTGCATATTCACTTCAGAATGACAGTGTGGATTTACTGCAGAATGATGCAGTGTGAAATGGCACAGTGCGGATTCACTGCAAAATGACACTGTGGGTTCACTGCAGAATGATGCAGTGTGAAATGGCACAGTGAGGATTCATTGTCAAATAGCACAGTGCAGATTCCGTGTGAAATGATGGTGTGGATTCTGTGCCGAATGATGGAGTGGTTTCAGTGTGAAATTCCACGGTACGGATTCTGTGTGAAATGGCACAGTATAGTTCAGCCCAGGTTCATTGCAGGATGACTGCAGACTGATTGTGGAATGACACAGTGCAGATTCTTTTTTCATCTCCTTTGCTTCTATAGTGCATAGATGTAAGGCCATAATCTGTATACCATTTCTAGTTTGATTGTAGGCGCCGGGTGGAATCAGAAACGTCATTACAGTTGATTTGTCTTGTGAAATTATTACCTTTGTATTTTTTATGTTCTGTCCTGTGGTTTTAATGTAGACCTTTGTGTATTATGTTGTGTAGGTTATGAGGAAAATTAATCTCTTATCCTATCCTATGCTAATTAAAAACAAAAAGTTTACGACTTTCATCTTCCTATAACAATCCCCTAGTAGATGATTATAAGTCACTGAGGTGCTTCTCTGATGTCGTCGTTCTTCTTTATTCTCATACATAGGGGATTGTTGGCAGTTTGTCTGTGAAAAGCCTGGATGCAGGGCTAGCTTAATTGGTTTAACGGAATATCTCTCTCCTATCGGTGATGAGTCACTTCAGTGCCGTCGCTGTAGACAGTACTCGAGTTTAATGTCTCGACCTTTTCAGGTAATGAGATTAATATGGTGTTTTTATCGATCGATCGTGGCTCAAACATAATTGGATCGTTTTATTTCTCTCCATGTCCCCAGAATCTTCGTTTTTTGTGTCAGCGTCTTCGCGGACACCCAGCGTGACATACGGCGACTCGTTCGACCTGCAGTGCATCGTAAAGCCACGTTACAATCCCCATGTCCCCGTGACGGTCACCTGGCGTTTTCAGCCCCCCGAAGGCGAGTTACGCGACCTGGTGACCTTTGCACGTGATGGGACGCTGCGCTGGGGCGAGGAACAGATCGGCCTGGGCACTCGCGCCAGCACCGAGAGGTCGCCGTCCAACAGCAACTTTAGACTGAGCGTGACCGGAGCTGGCCAGCGGGAGTCTGGAACCTTCCAATGCTCCGCCGAGCTGTGGAGGAAAAACTACGACAACACCTGGACCAAGATAGCCAACCGCACGTCAAACCTGCTGGGCATCAATGTCTTCAAGCCAGGTGGGTCCTCGATGATGACGTGTCTCCAGCAGACAACGTTCCCTTAGGTGTCCTCTGCAAAACATATTCACCGCATCCTTTGATATTTATGATATATGAGTGTGCCCTTCGGTATTTATAGCGTTCTTTGATATTTATGGTTTATCGAGTAGGAGTGAGCAAAAAAAGCATTTCATGAACAAACTTTTTTTTTTTTTTTGGTGTTCAATTGCACTCTGTAGTGTGGATTTGTTTATCGATTTTGGCTTGTGGAAATGCACAAATGATGATATGCTGAAAGTGTTTGTACTACACAAATGCTGCTAGTCTTTAATGGGGTCTCCTCTGAACGATATCAGCGTAAATGCCAGAACATGCTCATATCTGCTAGCATCTCCGTATTGGCACACAGGTACATACTAATGGTTGGTGATTGTGTGTATTTCCACACCATGCATGGTAGCTCCCTCTGTCTGTGATGGATGGGGGCCCTTTCTAGGCCATAAGACGGCCGGCTGTGCCCTGATTCCCCACCAGTGTGGGGTCACACTCTGCTCTCCTGCCATTGCCTCTTCATCATCCCCCAGTAATCGCTGTGGAGGTGGTCCTCTCCGTATTGAGCATGGGGGCTGATGGAGCTTCGATACCCCCCCTTTGAAGGGGAGGTCATTATGGGATGCCAGCCTCTGCTTGGATCTGCTCCTTTCCCCCCCATCACTGATCTCATCTCCTCGTTCCTCTCATCCCCTTTCTTTCCACCCCATCCCCTTATTGTGATCTTGTCCCCCACCCCAGTGCCTTTTCATTGGTCTCACCCCCTCCCCCAGCTTACACACACACACACACACACACACACCAGACCTTCTGAGACCTGGAAAGGCTGCAGAGAATGTCGCTTAAAGACAATCTGACAGGGTGAATTGCTATTAAAAGACATTGCTTTGATACTCTTTCCATATCATGTGGGTTTCGTCTTGGTACTCCAGTTTCCTCTAATGCTAATCGGCATCTCTGAATCACCCACAATGTTTGTTTGGGTCCTCGCGCATGTACATGCCCTCTGATGGACTGGCCTCCCACCCACAATGTACTCTTGCCTGGAGGGCTCCAGGCCCTTGATCCTATTAGAGATGGATGGATAGATGGATGGATGGATGGATACATACAACTATTGCTTTGATAAAGCAGCTTAGAGCTTAGTATGAGCAAATTCAGAGCACCATGTAGCCAGTGAGAACTTGGTTCGGACACAACTGCTCTACGAGTCCCAGTTAGTATGACAGTAGTCAGTGTATGTTTGTTTGTGTGTCTGATTAAATACAATACCACACCCACATAATAGTGTATTTTGTTATGGAACATTTAGATAAAGTTATCACTTTTCTTTTTGATCGAAGCGGGGAGATCTCCTTTTTCCATCTACAGAAATAAATTTTGGTCCATCTAGGACATTTTGGACGGCAGCATCTGGTAGCTGGGTGCAGCGTGTGGGGGTGTCTTTGGGTAATAGGACATCTGGAAGTTGGCATGGGGGGGTGATCTTCTATCTCCGTACACCATATGTTTTTTTTTTTTTTTCGGAGCAATAAAGAGAATAAAATCAAGCAGCGGTTCACCAAGTTGACCGAGGCGCAGGTGAAAGGCAGGCCTTCAAGCGCCATGTGCTGATTCGTCTAACCCAGAGTCGCAGACGCCATTCGAGTCGCGAGTCAAAAATACTTGGAACATTTTTCTTCCCTCCTCCTTGTGTACATTTGTCAGATTGTCTGCTGTAAACAGTCCTGTCCTTTTTCCTGTGGTTCAAGTCTCCTGCAGAAGTTTAGACACCAGGAACAGCGATACACCTACAACCGCAGTGAGGTTAATCCCTTTACAGTCTTAAACACAACAGAGCGAGGCTGGTCTTAGAGGCCTTGAGTAAAGCGATCTCAGGTCTGCGGGTTTCATAATATTATAGCCTTGAAGCTTTGACTCATTACTCAGGCGACTAAATATACCAGACAATCGCCTTAAATTGCCTACAGCCACCTGAGATTAGGCTACTGTGACAGTTATATAGTGTTTGCTATCGGCTCTGCTCCAGTGCTGTAATATATATCGCCACTTAGTTGTCATATACAATGAGGTAATAGTTTTAACCATTAATACAGCTGGATATTTTACTGAAGTAAGTCAGCTAGGCCCGCCACGCATAATTGCCATGGTAAAATTACCTCAGCCGGGCCCCCCAACTGGGTGCTCTCCTTGGGCTGGGCCTGGAACAGCTTCCCCAGTTGTCTCCATGAGAAGTCAGCTACGTTCCCTGAGGACATTTCTGGGGATTTGAGCTGGCATGCTTCTGACTGAAGGGTGATTATGAACCGTCCGCCATTTTGCCTGCACGCCGTCATATTGGTGATCTCGTACTGTCCAAAGCCTGGATCTATACCCACTGCCCAGATAAGCAGGCTTTCTTCCCGACTCTGTAGTCCCAAAGTTCTGCATGAATCGTTTACCAGAGGTGGGTAATTCAGGTCCAGAGAATAAAAGTCCAAATAAAGATTTTGTTTCAACCAACCAGTTGAGTATAAAAAGTGAGTCTTGGAGTACTTATCTGGTTGGTTGAAACAAAATGGACCTGAACTGCCCACCTGTGCCACTCACCATGGGTGCCCTAACAGGTCTCAGATACCATTATCTCTCCATATGGTAAACAAACTACTCTGAGCTCCTGTTATGTAAGGGAGACATTTTGAACACGGCACCAGTATGCTTCTGGAGATATGCCAGCTCCCATTCCAATCAAACCGGAAGAAAAGCAAACTTTTGGCATGGTGTGTCCCGTAATTGGCGTTCTGAGAGCATTTTGGGGAGAGATGCGCACTCTCTTTGTTCATGTTCCAGCCAAAAGGCCCCCTGGCACATCGCTCCTGGGACCTAGCGGCAGATGGTGAACCAAACCGGGGTTATATGTGGTTCAAATAATCGCCGTCCATCGCAAAATGCAAACCTCGGCATCCCGTGCTGTTTTAACCCACTGATGACGCCCACGGATGTGAGTATATGAGTTTGTCATCATTGTCTTATGAAGAAGCCAGCCCTCTGGATTTGATTGAGTTCTTGGGGTTAATTAAAGCTGACTTCCCAAATGCACTTTGGGCGCCGTGAAAACCCAAAATAAATGTTGCGTAGTCCCACGGATGTAAGAATGTTGCTCTCATGGTAAAAAATCATTTACGGTGCAGACTGGCATCATGTGATAGCGGAAAAATACGAAGGGATAAGACTGGAAACTTTACCTTTTTCCTGTGTCTCTGGAGGTCCTGCCATCTTTTTCTTTTTCCTGTAGCTTGATTCTGTGAGCATCCCTTTCTCTGTGGCTGCCTACACTAACGTATTCAGGACATAATGAAAACATTCCCGGGTCACTCGGATGCCCCTCACCAGTGCCATCGATCAGCATCCTCACCCATCTGGATCCCTGCCTTCTACAGGTGGCAGCGTGCACCTCTGTGACAGTCTTATCAGTCACCGTGACGGGAACCTCTGTGCCAGTTCACTGGGTCCTGCAGTGGACTCTGTGTGTCCGTTCCCTGGCGCGGGATACATTCTACTTCTAAACCCTAAGTGATTTCAACTCCACCAGAGCACGGCTGTTAGCCTGTATTCAGAAGATGGACACCTGCCATGCACCTAATGTTTTGCTATCTGTGGTTCTAATTGTTAGTCTGGCATTTTAAATTATCACCCTGTCTCCTGTCAGTGCTGAAATTAGCACGTCTGCAGTGCACGTCCTCCTAGTTCTTTAAAACCGATTGAGTCTGGATTTAATTTGCCTCCCCTGAAGGGGGCGCCGTAGCGGTGAGTGCGAGTGGGTGTGCGGAGCAGATCGGGCCTCCATGGCTGTGTATGTAAAGACAGCGGGTGGGCGATCGGGGGGGTGGGGGGACCATACTCTCAAGGGTCCGGTGTGTCCGCCGCAGGTCTGTTGTTAACGAGGGACTGAAAGATGGCCCCGAATTGGCTGCACACTAATCCAAACACAATAACACAGGCGGCACTGGATTCCTCGCTGCAGGACATGTCAGTGCGCCTCCCTGCACCTGCTTAATAAGGATTGATTGCGGGGGGTCGGCAACAAGCCTTAAATGTCCCTCGCAGCCGTATTACAAGTCCCGTGGAACTGCCTGTCGTCACGGGAGACCGTCTCCCTGGGCAACAATGGAACAGTGTCTGGTGGCCTGAGCATTCTTCACCTACAGCAATAAAAAATCCTAGTTTTCACAGTGATATGTGTTAATAGTCATTGAGAGCTTTTTTTAGGTCATATCTTGATATTCATATGCTTTTTTTCCATGCATTTCCCATAATAGACACAGGAACACAGTCAGCCTGCGGCCTTTTCCAGGAAGCTGAGGTTAAACTCTGGACAAGATGCCAGTCCGTCATGTGGTGCAAACAGAAGGCAAATTAAAAGTACCTAAACTGCATTTTTTCGGGCTGTGGGAAGGAACTGATGTAAACACTCAAGCAGCATACACTAGAGTTAAATCCACAGCACTGAGGGTTCGGAGGAAGTATGGTTCATTCATGCAGCCGTCTGTGATTATGATTTTGGTGTTTAAATCTAGTGAATTTCAAATGCAGAATAAAAGTTTGCTGCTGCAGTATAAAACAATGAGGATATCCTTCAAACAATATACATGTACAGTATTTGTTCAGGTGTGATCCATTATGAGTGTGTATGGTTCCGAAGTAGCTGATTACCGTGTTTATCTCGTCCTGGACCCTGCCCCTGGCTTAGCAGGCCTCCGCCAGCAGGCTTGATGTGACGCGCTCATTCCCGCCGCCCCCTGGTGGCTGTTAACAGTATCGTGACGAGAACGAGCAGGATAGAGATGGAGAAGATTCAGCATTGCTTAGGAAGTCACCCCTGCATAAGTCTATTAAAGCGTGGTGGTAACGTTCAGCTAGCTCACCTGTATTTGGGATCATTGATTACTAAGCGTCGTAACTCTTCGTCACGCGCCTGAGCAATTTCA